TTTGCTTCTATTTGCTTAAAGATATACACATTAATCCATGAGCCTTCAATAATTTCTGTTGAAGGTTCTTAAACAGAGGAGTTCTGTTAACTTTGAGAGCATGTACATAGAATTTGTGTGTATAAAACATTTCATAACAAGCTCTGATGGTATGATTCATATAGTGTCAGACTGCTAACCAAAATATATAAAACTCTCTATGCGTTATATATGACTTATAAAAAATTATTTTACAATCTTTTAATAGTAAATAACTTGTTTTTGTAAACTAACATGGGTAAATATGTTTTTTAAAGAACATATTGGAATCTATTCTGCATTGTTGCCTATTCAATTTGTACTGAATGTTAATGAAATTCTACTCTTGATAAGAACTCACTATTTAATTTTTTATTTGTTCAATATTTGACCTACAAAACAGTCCAAAATTCCAAAAACATCCCCAAGCCTTTCAACACATGCCTTCAACACAAAACTGCAACTTATTGTATAGGATAGGTATGATAGGAAAGGTTAATTTTCCAGGCAGCAAGCCGTCATGATTATCATCCCCTGGTTTGATTCTATTACTGGCTGAATATAGATTGATGTACTTGTCTCCACTGCACCAATGTATAATGCATGAACACGATTACTGGGGTAATTTAGAAACAGGATGCCTTTAATCTTCTGCTCAGATCAATCAATTACTATACATAGGTTATAGAATATCCTATGATCTTACACTAAATCCTTAATAGAACTAATCTTAGAGCTAAATGAAGTAAAGAAAATGTGAACTTCACGTAGCTTGCCTATGTGTAATTTAGACCATGTAGTTTCAAGGACAATATGTGTAATTAGCCATGATAAACAGAGAACAAACTGAATGCCATAGAGAATGACAAAATATGTCAAGAAACAAGAAGTTACTTTTCTTCCTTTAGAAAAAGAAATGTGAAATGCAAAGCTTTCTGAACCCAATAGTCTGAGAAAATTAGTATCAGATTCATTTTGTTGTTGTTGTTATGTGCCGTTGAGTCCTTTGCGACGCATAGCGACCCTATGTACAACATCCCTAAACCCTGCTCTATCCTGTGCCAATCGCATTGCCTCTGACACACCCATCCCTATTACCCCAGTCACTGAATCAATCCACTTCATAGAGGGTCTTCCCCTCCTGCTCTGTCCCTCCACCCTACCAAGTATGATGTCTCTCTCCAAGGACATGTCTCTCTTTACAATATGTCCAATGTCAGACGAAGCCCCAGAATCCTTGCGTCTAAGGAGTAGCCTGGTTTAACCTTCTCTAGGATGAATCTGTTTGTTTTCTTGGCAGTCAATGGAACATTCAATACTCTTCTCCAGCACCACAGCTCAAAGGCT